ATTTCATTCTTCTTGCCTAGATCAAAATTTTGTTTATAGCTGCAATCATCCATTTAGCCATAGTTTTACCGGTATTTACCCTAGTACTTAGGAAAGGAAGAAGGTTTGTTTATATGGTTTATGGAAATATGGTTTATTTATTTATTAAACTTTGGCCATTAACACGAATATAACCAAGGAAAATACAAACAGGAAAATGGCTCGGTGACCTGTTGCAGAACAAATACATTAAGAACAAAACACAATATAAACATGAAACAAGATTGAACATGGTCCATCTTAAGGCTCCCCTTTTATAGCTCCGGTGATGCCAACCAGAGCAATAAGTGCAAATTTAACTAGTTTATGCTAAAAATCTTTATGTTAATGCCGGTGTCACAGGAGATTCGCCCCCCCAGGAGATTCGCCCCCCCCTCTCAAAAGGGGGGCGATATTCCTAGGAGATTCGCCCCGGGGGGGCGAATCTCCTAGGAATATCGCCCTCCTTTGGGAATTTCGCCCCCCATATAAATTTTGAATTTTTGATCTAAAAACAAAACGATTGCAAGTTGAAAAGATTTATTGTGTGATTTATTTATTTATTACAAGGAGACAAAATTACATACACATTTTAGGCTTCTTAGCAGCTGGTGGTGTGCACAGTCTGCATAACCACTCATTTGAGGTACTTAGACTAGTGTCATATTCTACACATCTAAAGTGGAACCATCACAGAGATCGCATAAAATCATTGTCGTATTCTTCTGGCAGTTTACATTCACATAACATATTATAAAAACAATCGCTTGCAAATTTTATCAATACGAGTGTTAACAATAGCCGCCACAGTAATCACTTGCTAACAATAAACTATAGGATTAGTAAAAAATCTATGGAATGTGTTGGGAAGCGTATTGATTATTGTACGTTGAATCGTCAACTTTCCGTGTCAGTGATGTAATCTTGATTCTTCACTTCCGCAAAGAAAATTGCATTATATATGTGGTGTGGTTTATTCAAATAATTTCATGATACTTTGATTTTATTAGTGCATGCCTTAAACATTTGAGAATTAACTCTGCAAAACTAAAAGCTTTCTTGTCTTTTTTGAAACGTATATTATTGGATTATTGCCTATTGGCAAGTTCTACCCTTCGCTTCTGAGATTTACAAACTATATTGAAATAATGCAAGTAAAAAATAGTGACAAACCATACATTTTCCGATAACGACAAAACGGGGATGCAAAACAATACCAATAATTACAATAACCACCACGGTGATTACTTTTTAACAATGAGTTTAAGTAACACTGAAAATGCAAAATATGCATGGTGTGCTGTGAAGCGTCATAAGTCCTATTGAGTATTGATCTACTGTAACTGTGTAAAGCCCTTTCGATACATGTAATTGTAAATTTGTATTCTTACACGCAGGGCTTGAAATAACGTTCCCAAAGTTCCCGATCATGGTGATCGGCAGTCGTGACTTTCCCTGCTTTTTTCAGGTTGGAAACCGAAACCCTGCTTTTCCGCCGATCATAAGCAATTCCTTGCCGATCATTGATCGGTGATCGGTTGTTATTTCAAGCTCTGTCTTAACAATTTTGAATTGATACTGATTTCAAATGATTAAAGCCATGTAATAATTATCCCATGCAACTGTTAGGAAGGGCGAAATTTTGAACGGAGGACGAAAATCGTAAAGAAAAGGTGAAGTTTCTAAAGGGGGGCGAATTTCCTAAAGGGGGGCGAAATTCCTAGGATTTTCGCCCCCCCTGGGGGGGCGATATTCCTAGGAAATTCGCCCCCGGGGGGCGAAAATGTAGGGGGGGCGAAAATCCTGGGACACCGGTACGCTGTCTTGCTTTATGACACATACTTCAGACAAACTGCATGATTTCCACGTCTGTGGACTGTCTTGGTCAAACATGCTTAAAAAGTAGTAAATAAAAAGACGTGATTTGAAAGCCTGAAATGAGATATGTGTGGTTTACATGTACGAGGCTAGCTCTTACTAAAACCCTCCAATTATCCTCCATGTTACAGCTGCGTTACAAAGTGTGTTTCCTCACACTGAACTTGGGACATTCATGTCTCTGAGCAAACGAGACAAGGAGAAACAGCTGCAAGAACTCACTCAAATTGTCTCTGGTATTCGTCTGTTTAACAGAGAATGTGGCAAGGGTGGTGATGGCGTTGATGATTGTAAGTTTAACATGTTTATTTACTTGATGTGGTGCTTAAAACCAAACTTCTTAACAAGGACTTAGGGTAGTCATCAAAGAGAGACCGCGTCTTCACTTCTGATTTGGTTTTGGTAGACTCGATTTGTTTCGTTTTGGTAGACTCGAGACATTCGCGGTAAGGCCTCAGTTAAAAGAGGATGAGAGTTTAATGAGAGCCACAAGCGCAAAAGCCTATACAAAGTTGGCAGAGGTCTTCATGATAAATTCATGTAAATGAAACAATCTTGTCTAATTACAGTGCCAGCAATTCTCAGTGAAGCAATGCCAGCCACAAGTAGCAAAGTTCAAAGTGAGATTGATATGACACTTGAAATGGCGTACACATTTACAGGTAAGTCACACCATTACTCTACCCTAAGCTTGTGCTAAACAATGTTTGGTAGACACAAAGGATCATAGTTCGTGAGGTTTTGCACTAATCAAGGTGTTAACGACTAAGGAACAGTGCGCGGAACAGGAGGTCCCCCCCCCCCACGAATTTTGTAATTTTTCCAAAACTTAGGAGAAACTGGCGGGGGCCGTAAACTCGCAATGCTTTTATCTCTGACATAAAATATACGAAAGCTGAACCTTTCAGATTATCGTAAAACGTGTCTAAAGGCGGATTTCCATTCAGTGCAAAATGTTGCGCGATCGACTTTTTGCGATCGTTTTCTTTTGAAATGCAAACAGTCAAGCGGAACAAATCTCATTAGCTGTAGTTGACTGCACATATTTCAAAAGAAAGCGATCGCAAAAAATCGATCGTGCGACATTTTGCACTGAATGGAAATCCGCCTTAAAATGCATGAAATAGTGTTTCGCCGACCCAAAAAACAGGGGGGGATTTCCGGGTGACCATGCGCCCCCCAACCCCTTATACTATATAGGAGGACTCCTCCATTGTGTTACTGTAAATAGGTGTTAAAATGAACACCGTTCAACCATTTTTTTCAGCGATAGTTGAACATTTCCTGTCGGAACCAGATGAACTGCCAGATGATGTACCTCTTATTTTGTTGAAAGAATGTTTGATGAATCTCAGGCAGTTGGAAACATTTTTAAGCGTTATTTTGGTAAGTTATAAAACGTAATTTTTCATACTCGAAAATCGCACTGTTTAAAATACATTCGCCTACACATTCCCCAGCATTGACGAGACCGACGCTTTAAACCCTGCATGTGAGCGCTCGTTGCAATTTGCAACAAAAATGCCTCCTGTATATGTGTATTTTGTATTTTAGCACGATGTTGTTGACTGTGCCAGACAAACGGAAGCACTGGAAATTCAATTTAAAGCAAGAATGGAAAATCTTAGAAATACCGTGCAATCTAAAACTGCCGTTCCCACCGCACAAGTCTATGTAAGGAATAATACATTGCGTACATTTGTAAAACAACTAATACTAGGTTTCCGTGCAATTTCTGTTTTTACCGAAAGTATTCTTCATGCATACCTAAGTCACTTTTCTAAAGAAAATTCTTATGATGACAGCGGATGTCCCAAATTAGGCAAATTGGCCAGTTCAGAATAGCAAGTTTAGAACTGACAGTCAGTTTCTTCTTTCATTTATCACCCCCTTTCTCATACGTATTTTTCACTTTGAATTAATAGCCTCAATTTATTAACCTGTCACATATCTGGACTGGTTTTCAAGACGAGATGGTCTTACTCAGTGTTCTCAGTAATATCCAGAGCAGTTTGGGGCCTTTTAGCAAGGTAATGTATTTAAACTTTGTATACGGCAACCATGCATGCAGGTATGATATGGCTCATGTTTCCCGCACAAAGATTATAGGGTTGTGAAGTGTTGTGATTGCGGTCAACAGTCAAGGCCTTGAATTTTTGTTTTCAAATTCAAGAACACTCAAGGACTTTCACGTTTTGTACGAACCCTGGGTCAAAATCAAAATGAAATAGATTCGTGCACGAAAATTAGGATATTACCTGGATTTTACCTAAAATACCTGCACTCAGTTGATGTATAGTCACACTGAAGATTCGTCGGGAAATTTCGAGTTACGGATAGGGTTAATTAGGGTCAGTGTTAGGCTCAGAAGCTCGGTGTGACGTCACTACATCAACTGAGTGCAAAATAAACTCTCCTAATATTGGACATGTTGTTGCTCGCTACCCCGTTAAAAATTAATACTCCGCTGAAATTATTCCGTTCCAGGTGATCTGGGAATTATTCCCAGATGAGATTCTTGAGAGGCTTTTGGGGGGAATTGAAGTAAAGACAGACAATGATCGCCTAATGGAGGTAAACGTCGACACGATCATATTTGAGCTACGCTTCTTGCAATTCAGAACTCGATGGGTGGTTTGGACCCCCCAACTTAAACTTTAAATAATTTTATGATTGTTTCTAGATGAGTGACGAAAACAGTCGTATAAATCCTCATGATATCACTCGAGATGATTTTGAAGTTTTATATCCTGAAACTACGAAGAATTTTGATCGTTTGCCTATCTTGTATAGAGTAAGTATACCTTCCTCGTTAGATAGCCCATCAGATAACTCAAACGTGTGGATGTAGTGTTCTGCATTAAGCTGCCGTAGCCTATTGCCGTGGTTTGTGTCTGGACTACCCGAGAAAAGATTAAAAACACGTCTTGAACAAAGGGGTTTCGTTGGGAGGTATAATTGCCGTCCTTGACATAATGAGGGTCCTTCCCTCAAATTAAACATTGAAGTCTTTCGGTGTTTTTCAGGTAGTTCAAACGCAAACACCGTCGATACAGTTCTTTTAAGTGATTAAAATCACACCGCATGTGTTATTTCTTTTCATAAATCTCCCTTGAGTTAAAGAAGAACAAGTTTTCTCTAGCTTGTGTTGTTGAATGATTACTGTAAGGAGGAAGTAATACGAGCAACAAAAATTTCTGCAACTTGAAACAAAACTGATTTTAACGCATGTTATTGGAGGTTAATTGTTAATTAACATGCATTGAAATCAGTTTTTGTTCCATGAAATTTTATTTTGTGACAGGGTTTTTGTGCTTGGTCTTTGGTAAACGACAAGAGTTTCGTTTTACCATCCAACCCCGCGATTGGTGTGCTGTTGTATAACAACAATTATTACGCTTTCTCTACCAAAGAAGCTTCTTATCAATTCACTGAAGACCCAGAAAAGTAGGTATATATAAGTCGATCACTGGTCCTTATGTTAGTGCAGGATAAAGCCAGTTTTCCACTAGGCGGAATTTTTCTTTGTCTTATTAGAAAAGACAAAAAGAATTCCGCTCCGCGCGTAAAATTTCGCCTAGTGAAAAACCGGCTTTAATCACCTTGTCGTTTGGACGGTCGGAGGGTAAGGTAGGTAGGTAGGAAGGTAAAACTTTATTTAAACACGCTTGCCTCCTCAACATGGTGCTGATTTCCATGAGGGGCGTCACACAAATAATACAAAGAAAATAATCAAGTTAGAAAGTTACAATTTAAAAATATTATATACAACTATATACAAAAGTTAGATTACCACATATAGCACAGCATCACCTCTAGCATCATCTCTTTTTTGAAGCAGTCGAGAGTATCCGCCGATTTAGCTGCAGACGAAAGGTCATTCCATAACATAGCGCCGCTGTACTTAAAGCTTCTTCTTAGATATTCTGTTCTAGGTTTTGGAAGAGTTAAATCACTTTCGCTATTTCTGAGATTATAGGTATTTTGTGTCACATTCCTTTTGTGAAGAGATTCTTTTAGACCCGGGGCAGCCTGGTCATTTAGCACTTTGTGGGTCGGAGGGACGGCCGTCGCGGTTACACTGGTAAGGTCGAAACACAGTGGACGCGATTCGACATCGCGGCGCGATTTTTCAGTTTTTGAAAGTTAATAAAACAGCCAATGAAAGGAAATTTTAAAATATATGTAGACCAAATAAGTCAGAATATTAAAGCGCTTCTAAATGTTTTTAAAAAGGTTGGATCAAAGTTATCGGTCGGTGAAAATAGAAAAATAGCGCCGCGTTGTCGAATCGCGTTCGGTGTGTTTCGGCCTGTAGTCTTTTGGTCAGTCATGTGAACAGGTGGCTATAATCAATCAGATGTTCAGTCGATCGTTTGGTTGATCAGTTTAGTTTGTGTAATGCACCTATCAATGTTAACCCCCAGAGGGGGGTTCGGGCATATGTGGGGATTTTGATCAGCATTTTGGCCCCGAATTGGGGCAATTTGAACCGAATGACTTTTATTAATATAGTATTTATTGCAAAGTGGTGGGGCATTTGACCAATATTTATTGCCCGACGGTGGGGCATTTGATTGAAAATTTGCTCAATAAATCAAATGCCCCACCTATGCCCGAGCCCCCCTCCCCTCTGGGGCTTAACATTGATAGGTGCATAATCTTGACACTTGACCAATATTATCGTGTTTTTATAAGGTATATTGCCGATGTGGCCTCAGCTGCAAAGAAATCGCCAGAATTGATTCAATTATTGGAACTTCATGCACAGTTTGCTGCCATCACTCCTTATCAGGTGAGCACAAAATAAGTAAGACCATTGGCAGGGGAGATCCCAGATCTAGTGTCGGTAATCTCCGAGTACTCGCACACATTTCCTACCAATATTTTAATCTAATATAATATTTATATCAATTAAACCATATCTTACAGGCCTTACTACCGTTGGCTACCATTTGTGAAACCCACCTATTTATACCCCTGTATTCTAAAAGTTCACTCACACTTAAAGAGTGGAGGTTCAATTTGAGCTTCCCTTGGGTGTCAGCGCTGTTTTTTGAATAGCTGGAGAGTTAGTATCGTACCTTATTATGTGACTACTCACTCTCCAGCTATTCAAAAACAACATTGACACTCAAGGGAAGCTCAGATTGAATCTCTACTCTTTGAATGTGAGTGAGCTTTTAGAATACAGGCGATAGACCTTAACAGGTTAAACATTTTTTCTCCCAGGAGCAAGATTCCGGGAGGTATACAGAGGCTCCTATCACCAAATGCGACAGTGGCACACAGACTGACACTCACTTTATGGAGTCCAATATTGTCAAATCTTATGAATGGAATGAATGGGAACTACGAAGAAAAGCTATTAAATTGGTATGAGGTTATAGTGTTGGAAGATGTTTTATCAAGATTGGAATATGGTAACATTGGGCATAGCAACAGTGTATACCCTGTTACGTTGAGTTACTATTTTTAGACTTTTGTAATTTTGTATTCTTTTGTATTTTAAACTTAATCCGAAACCTAACCCTTACTCTAATCCTAACCCTAATCTTAATCCTAAAAGTCTAAAAATAGTAACTCCCCCTAAAACGCGACTCATATGTATGCAACAGTGCCATTCTAGCTGTCCATGGAATTTTCCATTATCTTGTTATTGTTTTGAAAATCCCATATCTATTCTCCATATTACCCGGTCACGACCTAGTGATTGGTATGTTCTATAGTTTTTTTATGACAGGCTCACTGTTCTCCATGTAATCAGTAGTTATGAGGGCCTATTGCAATGTGAAACTAGCCATAACAACTGGTCATGTTATTTGCATTATTAAGACATTTGCATGGAAATGCATTGGCTTCACCGTGCACGTTTATTACATGACCAGTTCCTAGAAAGTACCAATGTGAAAATGCTGTGCTGAGTGGTTATATTACTACCTTAAAAAACAAGGCGTAAAAAAAATACCTGTGGTTCCGGTTCCCGACCGACCCTATTTTTTTCTGCCGACCCTATTATTTTTTCAACGCGATTGACCGTACGACCCTATTTTTTCCAGGTGGTTGCGGGCTGCTCATACAGCGTGCCAAAATGACGTCTGTTGTCACACTAATTATTGAACCAAATTGCCTAAATTCGTCCATAGGAAATACGCATCTCTAGTTAATATTGATGTCGGGACTCTACTGCAAATCGCCCAGCAAAAAAACACGCCAAAACCATGAAAAAAATATTTTAAAAAAAAATTTATTTCCGACCTACCGACCCTAAGTTTTTCACGATATGAAACCGGAACCACAGGTATCTTTTTTACGCCCAAGCAGAAGGTTCGCTCGAAACGTCGAGTTTCTGCTTGTTTTTTTAAGGTAGTAATATAACCACTCAGTGCACCAGTTCCTATATGACTATCTTCGGTACTATGATATTGAGAATTTTTATTCATGTAAAATTTAGGCAAACTTGAGGACACGAGTTACTCATTCCATGCAAACAGATTTAAGTAACTACAAGAGAGACAATACTACTCAAGTTTATCTTCCAAAGTAAGTAACGAATTTAATCAATTATTATTTATATAATTCATACTCCCTGTAAGTATAAGCTTCGCTTTGCTATGGAGTCAGGCAAGGTTGCCCTGGCAACCAATGTGGTCATGATTTTAAAACAACTGAGAGAGAGTGCTCCTATACAGGACCCTAATCTTGAAAAGGGAGCCCTCATTGGGGCCAATTAACTATAGCGGCTCTCTGAATCTGAACTAGAACAGAGACTTCTGTAGGAGCTCCAAATCGAGAGGAGCCAATTTGAGACTGACCCATTACAGGAGTCCTGGAGAGAGGAACGTTCAATAAGTTCGGAGTCTCTAGGACCTTGGACGTCCGGGACAAATTGGCCTTTTCTCTCCGGCGGGCCTCCCTCTCGCCGTCTTGTTTAATTAACAGGGAGTTGGAGAACGGCGCGGATGTGGAACAAATTTGCTTATTTTTTTATCTGAGCAATAGCATTGGGGCTTCCGTGGCTCAGGCGTCAGAAGCAAGCGCCTTTCAACTCTGAGATCGTGGGTTCGATTCTTGTTACGGACTCATGTGAAAAGAGTCTGTCAACGCTCTGCCGAAAGTCGTGGGTTTTCTCCGAGTGCTCGGGTTTCCTCCCACAGGGAAAGTTGACAGGGTGGGTTAGGATAAACACAGTTAAGAAAGTAACATCACAATGGACCATTTGCATTATAGACTAAATTTTGGTCTAGACAAAAAGAGCATCACAGCTTGAAAGAGCATCACAAAATTAGTAATATTCCAAAGTTTCGTTGCGAAATGTTGTAAAATGTGGATAATATAGCCTTGCGAAATTTTCAATTTTCAGTCATTTTGTATTACAAACGGGAAATTGATGCCCCAACACCCGATTGGGCTGTTAATTTCCCGTGCGTAATACAAAATGACTGAAAAACGGCAAATTTCGCAAGGCTATATTATCCACATTTTACAACATTTCGCAACGAAACTTTGGAATATTACTAATTTTGTGATGCTCTTTCAAGCTGTGATGAAATGTTTGTCTAGACTTGTCTAGATCAGAATTTAGTCTATAATGCAAATGGTCCATTGTTGTAAATATAAAATAATTTAGGCTAAGTTATAATACTTGATGTAAAGCGCATTTCATCATATCCACATGTAAATTTGCGCTGTAGAAATGCTAATCGTAATGGATGACTTACGCTTTAGAAAAATTTTTAATCTGGGAATAACAAAGGATATTTTCGGAAAGAAGTTATCAAAATTAGAAAAACTGCAAAGTTTGGTTGCGAAATGTTGTAAAATACGGAAAATATAGCCCTGCGAAGTTGGCAAATTTGTATACATTTCTATTACGCGCGGAAATTGGTAACTAATTTAGTTACCAATTCACGCACGTAATACAAAAGTATACAAATTTGCCAACTTTGAAGGGCTATATTTTCCGTATTTTACAACATTTCGCAACCAAACTTTGTAATATTACTAATTCCAAGACGCTCTCTTTCCAGCTGTGGTGATAGATTTCGTTGTTCTTACTTAGATTAAAATTTAGTCTAAAGCGCAAGTCGTCCATTGTACTTACAGTTTTATTAAATGATGCTATTCCGAGTGTCTCCACCAACTTTGGCGACCATGGGTTTGCTAGCCCAGCGTTCTAGCAATTCGTGCCCCAACTGATAGACCATTGGACTAGTAAACCGAAATTCTCAGGTTTAATTCCCGGCGTGGTCAAGCTATTTCGGTGGATGGAGTCAAATTCCCTAATAACTGAACACTATTTGCCATGTGTGTAGGGACGGTGATACTCAAACAAAACGCGAGGAATCAACGAGCGTTCCCAAACCATCTCGATACATGGCAGGGTTACGAGGATGTAACTCCACCAAAACCACCATCACTATGGTAGATCTTACACTGGATGTTGACCAGACATGATGACGTCATAATACAACTACCACTACATCACATTACTGGATAGTGACCAAACACGGTTTGTTGAATATTGCCATACCATGTACAGTTTGTATATATTGTACAGTAATATTATTAACGGCTAGTTATTAAAGTTTAGAATATGCAATGTATAGCAGAGAAATGACACGCAAAACTTATATTGAATCTAGATGAAATTGACATCTAATTGATGTCAACCTTTGGCCCTTTTCATAACATTCTAAATTTTGGGCATCTTGCTAAATTGAAGAGAATGTTGAATCGCCTTTGTTGACGGGCTTTTCGTCGTTTTCGAGCGAAAACTATACATATATTTTAGACCGGGAGCAGTTGCAAAAAATGCAACTATAGGCCTCCAACAGGAATCGAACTTGCGGTTCTGCGATTCCAGTGCAGTGCTCGGAGTACTATACTGAGCTACAGAGTCCCAAGAGCGAACCAAATTTAGTTTGCAATAGTGCCATCCAGTTACGATATCGTGATCGGATTTCATTGTTTTGAAAATTCCCACTGTTCTTCATCCAGTTACTCAATATTTTGATATATTCGTCGCGTTACGCAAAAGGCCCAATCTCGTACCCAGAGCCATCGCTCTGGGTACGAGATTGCAAAAGGCCTATTTCGAACGCCACACAATTTCCACACCAAAAGAAAGAGAAAGGGCTTTTCATTCATAACAGCAAAAACTATCAACGAAGGACGTTCGTTCCTATCCTCCTCTGCAGACAACTTGGTGGAAAACAGGGCGAAATGTACGTAATATTTAGCAGATTGAGGGGTGGCGAGGTGGCCTGGCAGTAATGAAGAGTTTTATTTCCTCAGTGCACAATTATCCCTTATGATCCCATGTTATCCCCATCAATCCTATATAAGTATTGCGTAATTCGTGGGCACCACGTTGCCTGCGGGGGAGGCTATATCGTTCCCTAGGCACTATGTTTGATGAGAAATAGTTATTATTTAAACATGTGGAAAAACATTCAGAGCTTTGTCTCAGCCGCAAGGTAAACTTGTCATGCAACTTAAGTAAACTAATACATCATTTAATAACGAGAATGATCTGCATTTACATAAATATACACTCAATGTAATGAGAACTTTATGGAATATCAGAATCCTTGTTTATACAAGACTCTATATATTATATTACATTCTAAGCTTTACCTATCCTACAAAAAAGGTAATTTCATTAATAATAATAATCCACGAAGAAAACATAAAGGAAATCATGACCGGGGAGGAGCTTGCATGTCTTGGCGGTGAAGTGCAATTTTCGAACAAAATCCCTATCACACTAATTCGTATTTCCGTATTCCACAAACAAAATCCGCCTCATCCCCCAAATATCTGATACAAAACCCTACATATTTACATTTCGTTTTCTCACTAAATATCATTCATGTTTTTAAGATTATTAAAGAATACAAACGTTTTCATGGGGACATATAACAATCTTACAGGCTTCGCCTGCATTCACCTCTATGTAAGGTATACAACCACTAGTCTTCGCTTCGGCTCGTGTTTGTATATCTTAAGGAGGCCTGTCTTCAGTCGTATATACGATTCCGGTTCTTATTCTGGGTATGTAAATATAAAAACGCGTAAAGAAATTTCGCCATAAACTCAATCAAGAGGTACTGTGGCGTCAGCAGTAAATTTCATACGCCAGAAGGACAATCATACGACTAATTAATCGTACCGTGAAGACCTTTATACAACACGGTCGTTCACGCCGTAGTCTGCAAATATATTCATGACTGTCTGGAAACCTGGCAAACTTCAAAGCCACAAAATAGAAGACAAAATCCAGGGCTGCAAATAAATATTTGACTTGACAGGACATTTGTCCGATCACTTTTAATTTTGGTCGGACATAACTTGAATTTGGTCGGACAAAAACCAACACCACTAAATTTGGTCGGACATATATACGCCACAAGATATATATAAGTCACGAGACAAGTATGTATAGCCATTCCGGCGCATTGTTACTGTAAGTAAAATGCTAGAATACCTTGTAAATTTTATTGCAAAATGCAAATTGAGTGAATTTGCAATCGGATTTTGTCACAGCAAAAAAATATATAATGTGACAATTTTTTTGTGATCGGACCAATGTCCGATCAAAATTATTTTTGCTCGGACATTTGCCAAATTTAGTCGGACATTGTCCGATGTCCGACAGTAATTTGCAGCCGTGCATTTTTTTATATGCTGAACTGTACCTCACCGCGTGCACAAATCCTCTGTCTCAATTTCACTAAATCTTACTCGTGAGCCACTTTTTTGTTTTTCCCACATTATGACGTCATACTGTGTACCTATAACTGATTAGTATAAATTTCCAGGTGACTATTGATTTTTCTGCATTCTGATTGGTCAAGATTCACTGTCTCTGAAGTAATAGTCACTGGTCAGTGACTATAGCTTTTTTTTCAAAATGGCTGCTCGTTTTGCCGTAGTAACAGAGGAGGAAATTGCCAAAATTAAAGAAGATAGCATTCCAAAAAAACCAAACAAGCTACAAAATCTGGTTTAAAATATTTCAAGGTAAACTATTAAACTTTACGTGCTTTTATTTGGAAAAAAACTGGCTTAGTCGCCACGCGACACAGAGTCAAAGGCAGAGCCGTGTCTGAGATTTAAATTTTGTAAACAAACTATTTATAGTGAAAATAAATTTATTTGAAGTGAATTTTTATAAAGTTGTGTGGATTATTGTTTGTAAACACCTGGAAATTTATACTAAAACAATTAGTCGCCTCAGGCTCGGTGATTACAAGCCTATATTCACTTCGCCTTCGGCTCAGTGAATATAGGCTTGTAATCACCTCGCCTTCGGCGACTAATTGTTAAATAGACTATGGCAAAATCTTATCTATTTGTTGGGTAGACTCTGTTCACGCTATATAGCCTATATCTATCACTTATAATAACTTAGATAATAATAACTTGATTGAAAAGCACCCATGGTAAGTTACTGTAATCAAAGTGGTTCCCAACAAACCTCTTCAAATAATAGTTCGAATATTAAGTAGTTTTTTCTTGCAATTTCATCTCCTCATAATTGTCGGAATCTTGAGTAGTAAACCTCATACTTCGAGTATTCATGCTGCTCGTGCCGCTCAAAAGCAGACCGTTGTTTCGAGAACGTCCGCATAAAATCTTCTTAATAGCTTTACGAAAATCTTTGTGTAAGGACGCGTATATGAGCGGATCTAGCAGACTACTGCTATACTGGAGCATCTTCACAGCATTGATCACCTCTGATGTCGGTTCTGCGCAGTCGCAGCTCGAACAATGACGACATATGACGAACTTTATGTTCATGATAAATGTTCCGGACCAACACAAGATAAATGCGAATACCACGGCCGCTAACACTCCTGCTGCTTTCACCTCCTTGAGGAAGAATGCGAGAGTGCTTTTGTTGTCATTTTCAAGACCTTTGATTCGTCTGACCTGTCTCCCTGCCACACGCGCGATGCTCACGTAAGCGGCTATTGTTACACACAATGGAACTAGATATGCTATGACCGTTAACACCAGAATTCTGGTTGTTGGAGAAAGATCTGGGATGTGAGTCAAGGAGTAGTTAAAGAAAGCATATAACCAGCTAAATGCAATCAACACCCCAGACTTTCTTCTCGACATTAACTTACGGTATGTGAATGGATAATGAATACAAGTATAGCGATCTATACTTATATCCATGAGATGAACAATCAATGTCACGCCAGTTATTGTATCGAGGCCTATCCATGCTTGTTGGAAATCAGGATGATTGAAATAAAACCACATCTTTCCTTTGATCATGAAAGCCATATAGATAGGCAGGCATACTGCACCAACTATGCCATCAGTAACAGCAAGGGAGGTCACAAATATATTTGTTACTGAACGAAGTTGACGGGTTCTGAACACGGCTGCGATCACCAGGCTATTTCCTGCTATGATGCAAGGGATAAACACGCTGAGCGTGAGGATGGTTAATATGCGATCTGTCGTGAACTCGACCGTGGTTTTTATACCACCACGTTGCCCGGAACTCCCGTTCACCAAAGTTTGATTAATCAATTCCATTTTTGCTCTGAAAAGATATATACGATGCAATCAAAATATTGGTTGTGGTTTTTCGACCGATGTATGGATTGTGTTTTTCTATTGGAGTACCAAAGGACATTTTTTATTGATATACTCCTATACATATAATTAAAAGTGATGTTTTTTTTTTTATTTAGGGAAACCATTACTGACTATTACATTACGTGTCTAGTTGTCGGAATATTAGTCTCTACTAATAGAGTCTAATGATCTCTTTAAATAATGCTTGTATATTTGTTTAAACAGCAGCGAGTGAGCAGACCGGATTGTACAGTAAAGGTTAGTATAGCTAGGACTGAATTATAACAAACCGAACCGATTAAATGAAATTCTACCAGCGCCATACATAGGGGAGGGGGGAGGTAGCAGAAGAAACTGCCCGATCTGAGAAAATGTAAAAATGGCTAGAGAAGGAAAGTGCTAGCTATACTGACCTATGAAATTTTGCGTACTTGTTTCAGTATATAAGTGCTGCTGTTCTCCTGGCAAGAAAATCGTGCGTTCTGCAATGTTTGGTAAAATTGGTAATCCTGCGTTGTACCATGTTTGCTAGCAGGTTGTACCAGACAAATATCCACAATTAGAACAAGTTTTAAACGCAGGCAACGTTCTAACAATGAGAACAAGTCACGTGCGTTTAATGAACCAATTCTTCTGAAAACGACAAACGATCACAAACACTAAAACTTCGACAATACTAAAGTTTCAACAAAACAAATCTAAAATTACATTGTCAACACACTGTCTTTTAATAAGCGGATCTGACGATTGAGAAATCTATTGAAAGATAGAAATTTGCCAAGTTTGGCACAGCTTGGAACATATGCAAGTTGCAGGCGTAATGAGCATTTCTTCTAATTGACTTTAATTTGCTACCAAGTTCAATTAATAAACTTGTTCTAAATGAAATGCTAAAGACACTTATATCCGTTTGCTCTACATTTCATATCCTTTCTAAACGTTTCGATTTATTTAGATGATCCATCACTCATCTGGCAATCATCTCACGTCCATTCAAATTTCCTCTCATTTTACACCGCAATTAGAAATTATCTTCGCAAGTAGTCTAAGGCAAATACAACTTGACAAGAAACCCATTAGTTAATAAAGCTAGACATGAGATAATGAGAAATACAGATGACACCCGCGGATCAGGCTCCTTGTGTATGCAGATCGTTAATAACTTTTATACTAATGTAAACGAAATTTATACCACCGTGCAGACTTCAAGTCCTGGGTTTATTATATTTGCTCGCGCTGGCGTTGTGAATTAATTATTCAGGACTCAGGAGAAGGTTTATATATTGGGAGAGAGGGTTATTAGCATCATTCTGGCATCACAGCTACGCTTTTTCATAGACGGCGGATCGTCCAGAAACGAAGCTAGAGAGTAGAGCTATACCAGTATCAGTAATTTTGTGTAGTGATGAATCTATGAGGAAACAAACTTTTTTTCATTCGAAATCGTGAAAAAGTATGAAAATAACCACCTTTTTGTTTGAAGAAAAAACATAAACATTTTACATCACTTTGCATTCAGACCGAAAGCATAAAGACAAAAGTAGAATTAAAAGATCTTGTTTTTTTTTACCGTCGGTCAAGCTACGTATAGGGTAGAAGCGTCTGTCATTTCATTCGAAATCGTGAAAAAGTATGAAAATAACCACCTTTTTTAAGAAAAAACATAGTCATTTTACATCACTTTGCATTCAGACCGAAAGCATAAAGACAAAAGTAGAATTAAAAGATCTTGTTTTTTTTTACCGTCGGTCAAGCTACGTTGTATAGGGCAGAACGGCGTTTGTCGCCACGTTTGAAGAGATGCACGCCAGCTGCACTCATGAACGTTTGCTGTCTGCGTGTAAATTTAGACCTTTCATAAAGTAATTTTCGCCGTAATAACCGCAATTGTGTGCTTTGCATGTGACAGCAACCACAGACTACACGACTTTCGCAGAAAATATTGTTCTAAAAGACAGCCAAATGATTTTAATGTTTGAGTAATTTATTCCGAATGATGAATATATATAAAAGGCATCATTATCGAATGCTTAATTGTCATTTCTAAATTGCTGTTTATAAAGGCAATCCGTGTCTAGTTGTCGGAATATTAGTCTCTACTAATAGAGTCTAATGATATCTTTAAATAATGCTAGTTGTATAGTTTAAACAGTGCAGCGAGTGAGCAGTCAGTTCAAATCTCAAAAAGGCGCAATTATAATTTCCTATCTCTATGCCGATCGAAATTTGCTGATATAGGCCAAGAGCCATTAATTAATTGAAGGCCAAGAGCCATTAATTCTTGTAAGAACGAGACTTGTAAATTGTAAATAATATTCTTAAAAACTGATCAGCTGCTTGTCATATATGCAGTTGTCCATAGTTCGTTGTCGCCATATTATATTCACTAATGATCTGTTAATATAATACTTTCCTGAAATATGGCTACCGCGAGTCAGTTAAAAAAGGCGTAGTTTCGTATATGTCGAACAGGGGGATATTATAGAAAAGCATGCCTACAAAGAACTGCGCTTCTAAAAGTATACTACTGCCTACTGGAGAGCCCGCAAGAGAATGAAAAAAAACAACTTTCATTTATGATAATACTCAAGTATAATCTGGGTTTAATATTAGCCCGATGAACGGGTAAGTTTAGACGGCTTGAAAAAATGACTATCTGGCGATCCACTCTGGCAAAGTGACTACCAGATTATTTGAGAAATACCTATAACGTTCAAATTGATAAAGCTTGCCGAAAAAACAATAAAATAAACTGTCCTTTGTAGTGATGTCCAAGTGATAGACAACATGCCATACAGATGAAATTTACTACCTGATAGGAAAAACATCGGCATTTCGAACATAAGGCATATAGGTCTTCCTCTGGAAAGTCGTATAGACAGTTCACTACTTTTTTCTGCGTAAACTGGAACACCACATATATATCAACATATATAGACAAAAAGTACCTACCTTTGTGGGCTGTTCCAACAGGATATGCTGTCGATGAAAAGAAACTATGTAGTGGAGCCTCTCTACTGTTGTAGTAAAACAATGGTAGAGCAAGATCCTCTCGATGAAAAGCTCTATAGCGTCTAGTGCACAGCAATGATAAAACAATCTGTGTGATATGATCTAAGATAATCTAACTACATCTCACACTTCATGTGTACTGACATAAAACTCATTAAGTTTGACCCTGCTGAACTGGCGTTGTACAGCTGCAAAAATGATCTTTTTTCTTCTAATTTAGTTTATATACACATGCGCAGTGTTTATATTACAGCTATATGACAACCAGAACTCATTTAATATATAGCTGTATATCAATGATATTTCAACAACATTTAATTTATGCATTTTTTTGGTTTTATGTAAAACACGGCCTATTTGCTCTAAACAAACTGTACGCTAGTGTACATAGTTTGACAGACAATTGTAGTTTAATAAAGTCTTATTCAGATAAACTCTTTTACGATAAAACATTACAAGGAAATTTTGCTAATAGTTATGTTGACATAGCCACTCGATCATTTAGGGCTTTGTCAGCAGTTTCTTATGTGTGAAATTCCATAAATTCGCCGAACATTTGCGCCCGACAACAATTTAGTGTTAGACGATCTGCTGACCACATTCTAGTACTAGGCTGTGGGCTGTTGTGCGTAAGGTGCTTAATTAAAAAAGCAATTTCGTGGCAACCCCCTGGGGAAATTTTCTGTGGTTCAATGCATAGTACCATAGATGCTGAATTACCACAAAAAGTTCCCAAGCAAAAAACTTGCCAAACACCGAGAAAATGGGTGATCAGTGATTATCCTGTATTAACTTGTATTACAGCAAGAAAATGTGAAATTTTGTATTCAATTACAACAAAAATGACTTGCATCATCAGAAAGCTTACAAAAAATCTACATATAAGACATTTAAACAGCTTTTTTTATATCTCAAATTGTTTTCGAGTTATACGCAATCTCGTACCCAGAGCCACGTTGAGTAGAAATTCATATAGTGGAAATCTATAGTGGAAATTTATATAGTTATGATTTCAACGATGGCTCTGGGTACGAGATTGAGTTATACACTGTCAAAAACATGTTTTTGACCTAGTACCCAGTCCTTATTGCGACATTTTGGTCCAATTTTCACAATTAAAACAGTGATAACTCGAAGACTACTTGAAGGATCAAAAAACTGTTTAAAAGCCTTATATATTATACAGTTTTTTGTAAGCTTTCTGATAATGCAAGTCATTTTTGTTGTAATTGAATACAAAATTTCACATTTTCTTGCTGTAATACAATTTAATAGAGGATAATCACTGATCACCCATTTTCTCGGTGTTTGGCAAGTTTTTTGCTTGGGAACTTTTTGTGGTAATCGAATATCTATGGTACTACGCATTAAACCACAGAAAATCTATTCCCCACGGGGTTGCCACGAAGCGAAATAATTTTGGCCAAATTTTGGCCCTCGAAGAGGGCGGACGCCTCTCTTCTCCCGCCCGCACTAAACGCCTGCTACGCAGGCTATGATCTATATGCCAAGGCATATTTTACTGATATATATGCTGGAGGGTCATTTGAGCCTGCAGGCCCCACTAATTAGTGGCTCAGAACTGGGATTTCTTCCTCTTTTCAAATACTCAAGTGTAATACACGCTTCCGGAAAGTACATCACCTTGGCTATAGAGCCTCGTTTTGGGTTTCGTTCCATGTTTCGCGCACCAATATAAGTTAGGGTTAGGGGTTAGGTATTAGGGGTTAGGTTAGGGTTAGGGTATGTATATATGTGTATGGAGGTATCCAGTTAACTTTTCAGTACACTATAATATCCATTACATAACGTTTACTATATTGGTGCGCGAAACACGGAACGATTACCCTCGTTTTCGTGATTGAGACGTGGACTTTAACTGATGTCATATACACGAAAACGAGGCCCTATAGCCAAAGTGACGTACTTTCTGGAAGGGTGTATTAGAGTCACGCCAATCAACGAACAATTTTAGCATTAAAGGTTGAAAAAATCACTGTCCGCCTTTCGTACAACCGACCCCTGAATTCTGGGTTGGAACTAATAACCTTCACACAAACGAAAATGCATGGTACCACCATAGTCATAGATATCTTATGTAAACTAGATGGCGCATCTCTTTTAATGAGTAGTAAAATTGAATTGCCAAGAATATTCCAGCGGTTACCCCCATTTGAATAGATGGCGGCCATGTTGGAGTTTCCCACTCGCTAATAAACGCTTAAAAAACAACAATAACTTTCATCATTTGAATAGCTTGAAAATGTATTTGGAATAGGTTTAACTTAATGTTTAAGTTCCCTGTTTAAGAAATAGAAAACATACGAGTCTTCTCATTTCATGGGAATATCCTGAGTCTGCAATCACGACTTCAATTTTTGAATTGCAGAATAATTAGATGCACTATCTAGTGTATATAAGATATCCATGGGTACCACCCGTAACGATATTTGGAAAAGAGGATTTGAAATGACAGTCTGATGATGTTAGCTTAGCCGAATCATCTGCCAACTTTTATTACTCGCGTAACGACTTCTTCTGTATTTAAAGGTCGAAATCTTTTATTTGCCATGAATAAACTCTAGCAGCTGCCTTTCCTTGTCAATAAACAGGGTTGACCTTGTTTTAATGTCAGTATTTTCGGAAATGACTTTTAACAAGATTCATTGTGGACTAATGACAAAATGAAAAAAAATAATAAATGAAATTAAAATATTGATGGACAACACTGATGACACTGCAGTTTAAATATTTAATAGTTTCTTCATTTTGATCCCAACTGATCTGAGATAAAAAATTCAACGTTTCGACCCTTCGTCTATAGACACTTTCTGAATTTGTTGGCTGTCAATGAAAACTAGTCATTTAGGAGTTGATGTTTGTGATGTTACTCTGAGTATGCATCCACACCGGGCAAGCTGAAAAGTTAGATTATCGAACCCGCGACCTTTCGATTCCCACCGTGGCCAAGCTAACTTTTCAGCTTGCCCGGTGTGGATGCATACTCAGAGTAACATCACAAACATCATATTCACCTGAGTACATAACACCAACACACACAAAATAGCAATTTAGGAGCTGTTCACATGGAGCTGGACTGGCCCGGTTAACCGCGAGATGATTAGTTTAATAAAGCTCTCATCACAGATAAACATCCAAAATGACAGTTCAAAGTCGAATTAGCTCAGTTTGCTTTCAGTAACAGTAGAAAGTTCATTCGAACGATCTTTTATGGTCAGGAATTCGTGACGGCTAGCCGGGCTCATGTGGACAGCCTCTCACAATAGAGTACATCAGTTGTCCGCCTCGACTTCAAGCTATTGTTTCGTGCGAACTCAAACAAATTTGGGAAGTGTCTATTAGACCCTTAAGCCCTGGGCAAACTAGGAAACATTGTTTCCTACCAATGTTTCGCCATGTTTCCAAGAGTGAGAAACATAGGGAAGTGAGTGAGTCTCACTACTAAATTGAAAGCAGGCTAAAAAGTTACATTTTTTATGACTGAAGAATTAGAGCCACATTGAGCAGTAGAGAGTCGGTTCGTGGACACATAGCGCTCGCTGTTTCACCATCACTAAGCATTCCAACATCATCTGACGATACGGATTGACTACGCGCACTTTTGTTCAACAGTATCAGCTAGTTTCACTAATGTCTCCAAATACCCTGTATCGTCCTGATTATCTCTATCTATCTCACTTCGCCACTGCTCTCGCCATAGTTTCAGGGCGACTTTAAGTTTCGTATCTTGTTTCCACTCAGCCCGACATGCAGGTAAGAGAATTTGAAATGCTTGCAGAAGTTTTTCCTTCGTTTCAGTGTCTGTGGTGGTAATCAGAGTTGTTGATAGTTTACACCAACCTTCTTGATACATGGCTTTCAGCAGTGGAGCTCTACGGAAAAATATGGAGAATAGATGGTTAATAACGTTTTGCTAACGTCAAGATTTTTCGAAATTTATTAGCCACCTGAGGATTCATTCCGCATTGGACTGCCTCGTACCCAGGCGCTATGTATTGTTCTATGGCTTGCGTGGCCTTTGCGTTCATAGAATTTTAGCATTTTTACAGCGGCTGAAAAAATCACTATCCAGGGGATAGCGATATCCGATCTTCGGACAACCGATCCCAAACTTATATACTATTTTAATTTGCTCTATCTATATGATATCGTTTTATCGAGTACTTTCTAGATTTTCGAGAATCACTGAAAATACACTCAAGAACACTAGATGTATACATGGCTTTCAGGAGTGAAGCATTTGGAAGAAGAAATATCCCAAGAAGCAGGTCCCGAGATCCTATTTTTCCAGGTCTGAGGAGGTAATGGATTGGGCAGTGTGATGGGAAAAGAACATGACAGCAATGTGGACAACTAAAGACCATCAATATGGGCTGCACACGTAACAAGCTTGTTAACACGTTGTGACGATGCTGTTCCAACAACTTGTCAACAAGATGACTCCTCAACAGACTTGTGGCAAGCTTGTTAACAAGTTGTGACAATGCTGTTCTAGCAACTTCTCAACAAGATGTTTTTGCAACAGGTTGTAGCAAGCTTGTCAACAAGTTGTAACAATGCTGTTATTTTATCAAGTTGCTACAAGGTTGTGACAAACAACCTGTTAACAAATCGTTGAATTGCAGGACAATACAAGCCTTGTATAGCAAGTTGTCAACAAGTCGTTGACAACTTGGCAACAAGCTAGGGACAACCAGTTCGAACACATCCTGTTGACAAGTTGTAGGAACAGTATTTGTACAAGTCGGTTGCAGGTTTGTGACAACTTGTGCGTTTTTACGTGTGTACCATTCAGAAGTTGGTCTGCAACAGAGAGGAGCGGGGGGAATTTGTTGCTTTCCTACATGCCGGGCGGTATACACAGGGAAAAATGGGTTTTGAATGCTTTTCAAAGATTTACCATATAGAAACTGAACTCTTACCGTTATAGGTTATTATAAATGTCTTAAATGGTAAATTGGTAAAAACCATATTATGTTTAATTATTTACCATTGGTAATATTTTAATTTTTTCCTATGATAATGGCGGCAGACTAATGAGTACGTACTACGTAGTCAAATACTTATTGCTGCTTACTTTAAGGCTGCTTTCTCGTAGTCTTGAATTCTCATTTCCTTTGCTTTCTTTTTAATACTGTCCATCTGTTCTGTCAGTAAATCAACCAATAGCGTCAACGCCTTAATCCTTAACGGCTCATTCTCGTTTTCTTGGAACAGCGAGGCCAGGATGGGCAAACCTCCAATTTTCAGAAATTTTTGAGTTCCTTTGGGAAACAATCTCAACATGGCTGACAAAGCGTACAGTGCTTTCTTCCGCGTGGATGGTGAATCTTGAGTATTGACGAGAAGTCTGGTTAACAACTGAAGTGCTCCTGACTCCAATAAACTCACTTGCACAGGTAGGTTGCTGGATAAAGGAAATAAACACATTATAACGATATGATCTGTGAACCCAGGTCATAACCGAGCAATCTTGTACCCAGAAAGAACCATCATCCTCTAACCTGCGAGCAGGCTCTCTGGGGGGCAGCTATCATCCTCTGGTACGTGACACAGCAAAACTCATGAGAACCTAAACTTAGAGTAGTGACATATGTGTCGATGGCTTACCATTTGAGAGGTTCAGATTTGAATTCCAACTCCGCTACCATTAAGGGACCATTACCAATGAGATACGTTTGAACTATCCGGTTAACCAATCAGATGCATACTAAGCCATGGCAAGGTCACTGGTAGCAGTAGTGGAAGTCGAATCTGAACCTCTCTAATCTCAACCTGAAGTCAACACTATTATCTCTGTAGTAGTGCATTACCTCTGAGCAGCAGAGCCGATCACATATGCTGCTTGACTTTGAATCTCATTGTCAGTCTGATTAAGCAAATTTACAACTAGTGCCAAGCCTCCAATTACATCTAAGTCTCTTGCATTATCAATTTGATGTACTAAATATTCCAGTTCCTCCAGCGCTACCAGAATTACTGACTTCGCACTCTCGCTACTGTTCAGTTTCGCGACAAGATCTTGTATAATTTCAATGTCTTTTTTCATCCAAATGTTCGCACCTTCAAATTCCTGCTTTATTTCGTCCATACTTCTGTATTTGTTCTTTTCTAGTAGTAATTGTGACAATTGAAAATAAATTGATTTTGGAATAAGACAAACCCAAGGAAAGCCGTTTTTAAAGAAAAGAATATAAAAGACCATCAAAATTTTAATGGAAAAGGTTATTCTACTATTATAATAACTGATGCAAGCAGATACCATATTAAGTACTATGCTGCTTGTGATATCACACAGAAATAACCGCGAAAGTATAATAAACGCACATGGAACAACGCGTATTTTCGTTCCAAGCGCGTTTGTGTTCCATTTGCGTTCACCAATGCGTTCCACTCAAAGTCTGCTGAATATACTCGATTCATTTTGTTACCAGGGCTCATTCTAAGAAAAATAGAGAACTGCCCATTTCAACAATGTGAAAGATGAGCTCATGACATATTGCATGCCTGAATAGCTATATTTGGGCCGTTCGTAACATTTTGAATTTTACAAATCTAGAATGGTCATTTCCTGCGTTTTCAGAGCCAAATTTGGTTTTGTTTTGGCCTTAAATCTCTGTATGAATACTTAATTTATATCTATATAAATCTTCAAAACTCAATTTTAGGACTGCCCAAAGGGGAAAAGACAACACTCCCTACCATGTGTAGTTTGTAACTCATCATCCAGATCTTCACTGTGAAACTTATCCTTAAAATCTTTCAAAGCATCCTTCAGTTTTTGTTTTGAGATGATATTTTTATCAATCTTTATATATTTTTGTTTTGTTGGATACTGCGAACTTTGTGCTTTATTATTTTCACTTCCATCACTTGTTTTTTCGTCCATTAACTTAGCTCGTTTTTCTCCGGTTGTCAAGTCAATCTGGACATGGAGGCCAGGTGGGATGGACTGGTCTTCTCTTATAGTTTGCCATTGATTTGTGGCATGAAATATGTCATAATTGGTATCATCATTTGCTAATGTTCTTTCTTGCTCTTCATTCTCATTTGTACTTTCAGATGGAACTAACACTAAGTCCTTATTCCTAATTTCTTCTACAAATAAAATTATTAAAATAATTTAACGTTAATGCTATGTACAATTAAAAGAGAGTTCTGTGTTGGATGGTCCACAATTTTGAATGTACATGGAATAAAGTAGTGAGAAGTATGATTAATAACAAGATTTGAAGAAAGGTCTGTTGGTACAGATCACTCCTCCATATTAAATTTAAAGACAACATTACGATTAAGACCATGGCTGGTGTTGAGATTCCAGAGTTTCTGGAAATAAAACAATACAGGAAAGAACCAGGTGTGAGGAGAATATAACAAAATGGTTGATAATAAGATGGGATCCTCCTTTTATAATCCAGCAGTACTAACATGATAATAATGAAGAAGAATGATGCAAATTCTTTGCTTAAGCCACTAATGCAAACTTTCCCCTGGAAGACTAAAATACACCTTTTCAAAATTATGTCACATATACTTTTTGGTCTTGGAGCCTCGCTCTCATTAGTAAATTACGCAAGGTGATTGGCTCCTGATTCATGAGAGCGAGGCTCCCAGGCCATTTATTTATTGAAAGGTGTATATAATTGGCTGGTATGATAGTCAGACTGTAAAATAACAAAGTAGGGTGGATTAGGGTGCATTGAAACTTAACCCATTAAGTTGCAATGCACCCTAATGCCACCTTAGGCTTACTTTATTATTTTACCCTGTCTCAGGCAATTTTACGTACTTGTCGGGGGCCCAGAAGGTTGGTGCTAAAGTTAATTAATCAACTTATTAGACTGCAATAGATTTGGTTATTATTGCTGTTCTTTTTCTGGTATTTATAGAAACACATGATCGAGCACGTGGTAGCAGATCAGATGACTTGCAACAGTCATTACACAACAAAATTATCATGATTATGCCATTTTAATATTAATCACATGACATTCCAATTTCCAACCATTGCAACTGTTTTAATTATTTACATTTCGGAAGCTCTATATATTCCTACCTGAAAGAATTATCTGTATCAGCACAAACATAAACAAAATGATACAATTTCTAGTCATTTTGGACAACAAAACCACTTTCAACTGTTAATAAATAAACATATACGTGGACGTAGAAATGCCGAATCAGCAAACGATAAGTCCCGATACTTGAACGTAGTGTTCCGACATATGACGTCATAACATCGACAAGTTAATAAGTTAATAGCAATTTGAGCTTTCTGCTTGAAAAACATGTTGGTTTATTGTCATTTTGTTTGAGATTTCGCTTTCTTTTTACCCTACGAAGACCCAAAGATGGTGTCCTACATCGTCTCCCGTGTCATTGTGTAAGTAAAATCATATTTTTGTACAGGTTTGCGGCAAAACAGCCCGACATTTCACCTCCTGTTGTGACATCAAAATTTGGTTTGATGTTTATGAAACTAAGTTGCAAGAGTTTGCTAGCTTTAAGTCATTAAACCTTTCTAATCTTTTTATTTTCTTTATTGTAGTGTGAGTTTAGGTACTCTGTATCCTGCTTATAGATCATACAAGGCTATCAGGTCGAAGGACACGAAAGAATATGTGAGTATACAATCGCCAGACATTCACATAACTGCACAATTTGTTTGTCTCTAGTTGAGATTTTTAATATATAAAACGCGGCCCCAAGCAACCCAATATATTTTTGGAATATCATGCATTGCTTAAGTTTTGGGGGTGAAAGCCTATTAAATATAAAGAAAAATAAAACTATCTGTTTTAACCTGCTTTCATTTTTGCTGAGGACGTTTGCATAAATTTCAATGAATATAAATCGTGAAAATTTCCTCCGCATTTTCGATGTATCCATATTTTTGTGGTTACATTGGACCTGTATTGCGATAGCAACAAAAACAAAAAAAAATATTGAAAATCATCTAAAAATCATCAGAAAACCCTTATTATGTTAGATAAATCTCAGACTTTCTAATAATTAGTGGATGGATGCGTTGAGTCATTTGAGTGCTTGTTATTGTCTCATTTTGTATGTGTGCGTTCTAGACGAAATTTGAACTTGACAATTAGATACAATTTTGATAAGGGAAGTTGTTAATGTAGATTGTGCACTCAAATAAAGCACTCAAGGTTTTTTTTAAAACAAAAAAATTTTCTGGGGCATGAGCCATGAGTGAAAATGAGTTATTGTTCAATTATGTGTGAGAGTTGTTTTAAAACTGCAGGAAATAAATGGCTTCACTGTTGGATTATTTCTTACCACTGATCTATAAGTACACTGGACTGTATAAACCCATACTAAAGGATCAAACATGTGGTATTTCTATTTTTCCTTAAAATGCTAAATAGCAGAGTCAGGCAATTAGATATTTTATGACTGCTACCCTTAATGCCTGTCATCAATACCAGACGCTTCTCCATTGTTTCTCTGTAAAAGAGCACTTTTTTGTTTTACTTGGGCAGGAGAGATTTTGCCCATTATGTGTTTAGCCGTTAAGCTTGTGATATAAACAGCCTAATTGGTTAACCCTAGATATCTATAAAAGCTCATCATAGCGACCTCATTCCCTAGCTAATGGCTAATTTCTGGCTTCGTTTTTAACACTGACAATAAATACTTGTCCAGTTTTGTTCCCAGGAACCTGCATATTTGCATTTTTAAAGTGCATGAGCAAACATTTGACCAGTGTAGTATTCCACTGACAAATAAAATTGTCTGGTGTAACTATATATACAAAGTCAACAATGATCAATATTGATGGATTGTCAATATTGACACTGCATGTGTTGTTGGTATGCTATTAGAATGGTAAGAATTTTGGGGGGAAATTAATGCTGTTGAGTAATATGTTTTATTATTTTCAGGTAAAATGGATGATGTACTGGATTGTATTTGCAATATTCACAACAGCTGAAATATTTATTGATACAATAATTGGATTTTGGTATGTGCCATGGTTTCTTAGTAATGACACATTTCAACCCCCCCCTCCTTTTCCTAAAATTTTTTTATTAAGTTTCCAACAAAATTTTTAGATTTATTAATTGTCATCAAAAGTTACTTTGCTTTAGTACCTTTCTTATGCTGTTTCAGTGATCCATGTACTAGTAACAATTGGTAATCTTCCCTAACTTTTCTATTGATTCACACCTTCATGTGACTAATCACCTGTCAGAAATAAATCCCCCCTCCTGGATGAGGATTTATAGCATAAAGAAGAACAATTTGTAATTATTCTTTCATGTAGGTTGCCATTTTATTATGAGATCAAAATTCTGTTCTTATTTTGGATTTTGTCTCCAACAACAAAGGGATCAAGTATTTTATACAAGAAATTTGTGCATCCGTTTTTTACCCAGCATGAAAAGGTATTGTTATGGTGGTGAAGAACAATTAAGCCATTGAGTGGCAGTACTCTCCCCTTGATGAGTAAAATCGTCCAGCGTTAGACAGACTAAAATAATACAGTAGGGCACATCAGGGTGATGGTTAAAATTTAACCCTCCACAGTAAGTGGCAATCATTGAACTATAAATAAACTGGAAGGCTAACTCAGGGGGGGAAATTGAAGCCAGTGCATTTTAGTTTTTCTGAGTTATGAGCAGAAATACTCAACACTGAACATTGGGCTATATATCAAATTGAAGCTATTGAAAAACACTATTTGGTGTAGAAATTTCAAGACTTTAGCTAAAAGGGAAATATTGAAAAACTACAAACATAATTACCGATAATTTGCCATTTTGCAGTTGTTTTTGTATTTTTTAAACATTTATCTTTTCGCTGAAGTCTTGAAATTTCCACACCGAATAGCAATTTTCAATAGCTTCATTTTGATATATAGCCGAACGTTTGGGGTCAAGTATTTCTGCTCATAACTCAGAAAAACTATTTCGGCTTCATCAAATCACAGGCCTTCATCATAGCAGTTAGCCTTCCAGTTTATTTATAGTTCAATGGTGGCAATACAACTAGCCTGCGAACAGGCTCTCAAGGTGAAATGAGAGCCTGCATCGATGACCAATGAATTTGAATATCTGCGTCTCAAATCGTGACGCGAAATTCTCATTGGTCAGATGCTATAATTTATATGTTTCCTCTGAGCTCTATATATGTCAACTGCTGAAACACTATGCATAAAAAAACACATTAACTGATCAAATTGGTCTTGGCCATCTTATCTCAAAGCATGAGATGTTATGTTTTGAGAAAACAGTATTTAAAACATTTAAACTTTTGCTTGAATATCTTATATTTCGAAAAACAGTATAAACTGTATGGTCTAAATTTAGTTTGCACGGTCTAAATTTAGTTTGCATGAAAGTTGTAAACAACACCATATAAGGATAGACATTCCATATTTGGAGAAACGAACGTTACGAGGCAGATATTCAAAATTGTATATCATCAGTGCAGGCTCTCATTTCACCTTGAGAGCCTGTTTGCAGGCTACAATGCACCCTACTTTGGTATCTTAATTACTCTCACTGTCTAATGCCAGATGATTTTGTCCATGAAGGGGAAAGTGCTGCCACTCAATGGGTTAATAACTAAAGATTATCTGCCCATGCATTCTGTTACTATAAACCTTTATGCTCTCTACTTTAGTATTTTACTCTGTCTAATGCCAGATGATTTTACTCATTAATTAAGGAGAAAGTGCTGCCACTCAATGGGTCAAAGTAAATTTCTCTGCACTTTATATTGCAGTAATTATTAATAAAATTCAACTTCTTCAATGTTGATGTTTAGGAGATTGATAGCTATATTGAACAAGCCAAGGAACATGGTTATGGCAAGTTAGTGCAATATGGCAAGAAAGGCCTGGACCTAGCTGCTGACACCATGATGAAAACTGCAATTTCTGTAAGAGAATGGAAAATTTTAATTTTAAGTCATGGGGGTATTTTGGCCCCTTTAATTAAATTAAAGGGGACATTGTCCATAGACAGGTCATGTAAATTACAGGAATTTTCTTGTGGGTATACTCTGAGATTGACATGATGGTCTGAAACCAACTGTCTTAAAACTGTGATGGCCTGAGAAGCATCTACACAACTGTAGCATATTTTCCATGAATGGAATCATTTTCCATGAATCTTTGAGCTTCTACTTAAACTACTGATTCATGTTTCACTGTTTACTTTCTGGGCTTTAGATTACCCTCCTGACACAATATTAAATCTTATGCCCTATTTACTACCTCTGCATGTACTATAAAAGCAAGCCCACTCTGAGAGCCTAGTGTTTTAATTTTAAACTAACACACTGTTTACTTTGGATGTAAATTTGAAATTTCACCAGGGTCAAGGTGTGCTTGTACAGCAGTTACAACGCTACAGATCTGAAGGCTCCCTCGATCAATTAGGACTTTCTGATGCGCCGAAAGAAACAGCTCGAGATCAAGTTGACTCCGGTAATGGGGAACAGAAACGGAAATCAAAAGATAAGAAAACTACCCAACCTACTGAAGCTACCGCGCCAGTAAGAACAACGGAGCCAGTGAGAACGACAGAGCCAGTGAGAACGACAGAGCCAACAAGAACAACAGAGCCAACAAGAACTGCTGACTCAGCTAGAATGTCAGAAAGGTGAGGAATGTGTTTGGACTAGAATCAGGAATAGAAACTAAGGCTTCTAGTACAGACACTTCACTCTGTCCCTTCAGTGTCATAGAGATACGTTAACTATATCATACAATTTTTCCACAGCACGAACCTAACGAATCAAGGAAGAGTACAAGCTTCATCACTGGATGATATATACATGAGAAGTTCCATGACATCAGATAGTTCACTCTATGATTCTGTACCAAGAAGATACTATGATGGAACTGATCCAGTAAGATATTTGTGCAGGGTTTCAACACAAACTCCTTCTTTGAATGACGTTTCAAGGAAGTAATGTGCAGTCTAGCCTGTGTTCCAGTGCACCACACCGTTGTGTTCACACAGTCTAGTTGACTGGAACACAGGCTATTTGCAGACCAGTTTTTTCGTCGTTTTTGTCGATAGTGCTCCATTTTAACAGACTGAATTTTTTCCCTTGTTATGTTGTCTATATTTATGATTTATTTTTCCTTTTAAAGTCATGGTGTCGTCCTACAAGTAATTATTATGAGGTAAAAAAGTTACTGTAATATATGTAAATGTAATTTGTTTCTAACCTTCTAATCTCCTTGGTTGACATACATATTATAAGCTACTAATTAACATTCATTAATATGTACCTTCAATAGTTAAATTATACCCTATTCTAACATTTCTACTAACATACTAACACACTAACGTTGTATAGGGATCTTCGACATTGCCAAGAAATTTCTCCACTAGTGTAAGTTTCTTCAGTTTATTTCTCTATAAAGACTTTGGTATAAAGCATTAAAAAAAGGGAGGCGGAATTTTTCCGTGTCAACATCGGAATTATGACGGTGTCGTAAGATGTATTGAAGTGTTTTTGTTGATGGAAATCTCAAATGAAAGTTATACATATTTATACAAAATTATACCTGACTTGGAGCAGCAAAATTTCGAATCACTAAAAAATATGTCAAGAAAATTTCACTCCTTGTACATGGAGAAACCCGGAATAGATATATCGTTATTCTATATTAAAGAAAAACATAAAACTCTCATTTACTTTTTCTCTTAAATTTAGAGCTATGCAGATTATTCGACACGACCTTACGAGGTTTGTATGTGCTTATTGTATTTGTACCATTTGGACCAGTCATTAGAGAATGGTGTGTTTGCATGGTCATGTATAATATCTAATTGCATTTGTTTATTTTTTCTTAGACAAACAACTTACCATCTACTGATGTAAGTGGGACTCTTAGTTTGAAAACGAAGATGTAGAAAATTATGAAAAAAAGTTCATATTTGAATATGTTATGTTTTAAATACATAAACTAATTCATTTTTATTTGCATGCAATATATTAATAACGTATGCTTCTATTTTTTTTTAGTATACATCCAGTTACAGATACGAGGTAAAATTACACGTTAAATTAGTAAGACTGTTTACACCCATTTCATTGGTGGTATTAAAATTTGAGAAACTTTACCATATGTTGTGGTGACATTGCACCAATGTATCAGTAATTTTCAATATGATAATTAATGTGCATGTTATTTCTTTTCCAGTCTTCGACATTGCCAAGATCACGTGATGTAAGTATTAAACATTGATCTCAATGTGGAATGTGCACATTTTTAGGGACAGGCCATTAGAAAAGGGGTGGGGGATTTTTTTGCCGTCTGCTTGTGCTGGAATTTTTCTAACGGTCCACCCGTTTTATACAGTATCTCTAGAGTTTCAACTCTAAATTTGTGCGTTATTTTCTTTAGTCAAGCCGCCGTTATAACACTCGGAGTGGCAGATACTAATGGAGAAATGGACAAACTGCATTTAAAGGCTTTTGATATTTTTATTGCCGAAATCTGTTATACCTTTGTAAAACAGCCAATTGAAAATATTTTTGTAAAAAAGGAACTACAGTATACAATGCGGGGTATACCGAGGACTAGTGGGATAAAGAACATCACAATTGCGTGGAAAATTTCTCCAATGAGGTAGCATGTAATTATGAAGCCAGAATTCAGAAACCTGCAACATTTTTTGAGAGTAGCCTTTGGATACGAGGTTGTCCTGGCCAAAATTGCAAACTGTATAAAATGTAGTGTTACATTACTGTTCTTAGCTATAATTTTCACCACAAATATCATTTTTTTATTCTGTACTTTTCATGGAAATAGACAGCGTGTGGACAGTTTTTTCATATTTGAAATTACTGATTTTCAAATAAACTACTTAGTTTTTAGCATTGTTTTTAATTTGTACTTTAAATTTCTATGTTGTGGTTTGTTATTGATAGTATGTGATACCTTTAGAATGGCGGGAATTATTAGTATCAGCCAACTAGTTCGTCTGCGACTATTCGCGTACTTACGTACCAGAGGTACGCCAATATTACGGCCCGGTACTTCGTTTTTTTTCAGCCAAGTACCACGTAAATGCTATGTACTTTATCTTAAAAAACCAAATACAGTGCCAGTTCAAGTAGGTACGGCTAAAAATCTTAAATTATCGCACCCTGGTAGTTTCTGTTTGCCTAATTTATCGGATTCGATCTTTCATAACACCTTGGAATATAAGGAGTATACAATACGTCAATACATGTGAGTTTGACAGTGAGTGACTGGTTGGCATGGAGAACAAGGAAAAGACAATGCAACATCGGATTACTGGATCTTAATGGCCCTGTTATGAAAGGGCCACAACACTAAAGGTTCAAATCCACATCTTTGAATGGGATTCGTCACCTGTAGTTGAAGAATCAATGCAAGCTGTACAGAAGTGCTAACACGGAATTCTAACACAGAAGATAACATTAGAATTTACTTGTACCCAGTCCCTGAATGAGGATTGAAAAAATAATGGTGCATGATGGGAATCAAGACTCAAGTCAATTCTTTGTTGTTCCCATCATGCATCACACTCATCAGTCCACTGATCTATATATGTACTCAAAATGTGTAATTTGTAGCCTTGACAATTGTGTTAGACAATAGAATGCAATTTCCATATTTTCATTTTTTACAAATTTAACTTACAAATCAATTTACATTCTCTTCAGATCAATTAAGTTAACGTTAAAATGCAATCTTGATTTCATTTTTACAGAATCAATTTACAAATCAACTAACATTCTCTTCAAATCTTTTCAATACCTCGCTAGCGCTTGGCCGAAGCTTGGGGTCTATTGCCTTGCAACTATTGAATAGATATTTTAATTTTGCTTTAATTCTTAAACCATCAAGTGAATCTCCTAGGAACCAAACTACAACATTAGGAATTCTCCATATATCTATCTTTTCATCATAGCCTGGCATTTCTAAGCCGTTAAATGGTTTGTCATCAAATGGCCACCGCTGTTCTGGAGCCACAAACCAACCATACAACTCCCGATGACCACATTTTACTAATTGACCTAATTGGTGGTCAACTTTGGGCAGTGCGTCTAGGTCGTTAACAATGAGATGCAAATCATCTGTGATTAAAAATTGTGAGAGTGTTTTTATGAGATCATTTGTATCACACATGACTCTTACACCCAAAGGGCTGTCGTGTAAAAACACAAGTATCCGTAAATAATCTCTTGCTAATTGTATTCGTATGTTGAGTTCCTCATTAGTATGAAGATGTGGTAGGATTTGATTCAATTTGTCAGCAGAACCATGGTGATAATATGTTATCACCATCTAAATGAAGGAAAGGTTAATTGTAATTAGCTAATGGGGACAGTGGCAGACTTTTACTCACAAAAATGAGCTCTCTTAGTAGGTGGAGTGTGATGAGCCTAAGTACTACACGAAAAGGTAGAGCAGTAATCTACCTCCTGCTTTTCTTCACAAGTACCAAGAAGTTGCACAATCAGTTCACTGCCTTGTAATCCCTTGATCATCCTGGTGTTATGCCGACAATCATCCCAGTATATTGCACTTGAACACTTCATGTAAACAACAGTATAGCCATGCCAGTCGGCCAAGTAAATACTTTTGACAGCATTATTATGGCTTGCAGTACTTAACAACCCTCTAGTCCGCACATTCATTTCAATATCTGTACAGTCTAGCCATGGGTGACAACCAATCCATGACTTAAAGCTAAACGACCCTTTCTCACAGGGCAAACAAGAATTGTCAATTTGTGAGAAGGAATAGCCCTCTTTGCATTGCTCTAAGTGCTTTGTGGAAGCCTTTGGAAGTCTCTCAGTAGTTTGAAAACTACTCTCATGTTCACTGTTTGAGAACTGTCGCCAGTACACAACAAAAATTAGTAAAATAACTGATGAAATAAAAAGATAAAGTACAAAGTTCTTCACTGTCATATTTCAGTAAAAACGTCGTAAAATATGTAATCATCCATATACTTTGAATCACATCTTGATATAATTCTTCAACAAATTGATAAATTAAGAAATTTAATTTGCTATTCTTTATAGTTTACAATTTTTACATGTAGTATTTTATATTTTCTAATTACAATTTGTAACAATCAATGACAAAAACTTAAGGGTGGGGCATTTGGGCAATGAGTAAAAAATGTATTGTATCAGATTGAAATTTAATATCTAGGCACTAATCAAAAGAGATTATTATTTCTCTTGTGAGTCTATAGTTTTAGAAACGTTTTAGTTCACTAAAAGTTTTCATTTCTGTTTAAACTCTATCACAGACTCTATTTCCTCTGATTTTTTAAGACAATTACCCCTCCCCCCATACGTATGTGTTTGTCCCAACTTGGAGTTTGGTGAAAATGCGCGCGCAAATTGAATATTTTTAGGCAGAGGATCGAAGTTCAGGACTTGTTTATTTCGAAATTTTGCTATAAAATTTCACTTTTTGGCCTAAAACAACATGAAGACGTTTGATAACGTTAAAGCAGTGTTCAATGTCGCTCAAACAAGCTCTCAACACGAGGAAACGCTGTTCAAAGCCTTAGACAAGCTGGCAGAAAGCAGCGAAACACCAGATGAATTTCTCAAAGATTTTATTCATAACTTGAAGTATTGCATGATTGTGTTTCAAAAAGAGCCTGCCGTCGAAAGAATGATGGATTTTGTAGCTATTTATGTTACAAGAGAAGCAAAAAGCCAAACTGAGGTCAGAAAATTTAACAAAAAGTATAAAATAAACTTGCATGTTTTAATGTTTATAGTCTGATTTCTGAATTCTAGTATTCTACAAATATGTAAATACATATTTTCAAATCTTAATATAGATCGAATCATATTATGCACCTATCAATATTAATCCCGGGGGGTAAGGGTGCAGGCAATGGGTGGGGATTTGACCGTGAATTCTATCCCCACAGACATGCATTTGACAAAGATTTTTTGCCGGGGTGCGGGCAATTTGCCATTCGACATAATTTGACATGCAATTTCAGTACGAAGCTTGGAGTCTAGAATCGAGAAAACCTGAAGCCTGGAAACTTTTATTTTTTATTTTTCACATCCGCTTCTGGATTCTGGGGCTAAAATTTATGATGCCCAGACGCTTTTTGTGGCTCTTTATATTAAATATTATTAAAATATTTTGCCTCAATCTATCCCCTGGGTGCGCCTGTTTTGAAACATTTGATTATCTTAGAGTGCCCCACCAGCCGGCGTTTGACCCAATTTTTAAATTTGTTGTCAAATCCCCACCCATTGCCTGCACCCTTACCTCCTGGGATTAATATTAATAGGTGCATTATATGTAGTGTATATTTTAAAACCATTCTTTCAGATTTGGATGCCCCATTCAAACTAAGATGAAAGTTAATGAAAATTGCAATTCCCACAGACACAGTTTGTGTTTGACTAACTCAGTAACTCTCATCATCTCTCATCAACTTTGCACTTTGGTTCAAATTTTGATGAGGTTGCGTTGCATAAAACTATTATCCTCATTTGACCAGGGCTTTAGGCTCTTCCAATTAAAGCCTGGATGTCTGCAGCAAATTTATTCTGACTTTACAAGTTCTTGTTATTTCCAGCAAAAGAATGCATCCTATGCCGAGAACAGCGACGATGAAGAAAATGGCAATAGTGACAAGAACTTATTTCTATCAGATGTCCTGAACTTTCTGCTTGATGTGCATGATGCACGAGATAAAGCCGTCCGATATCGAGCTTGCCAGCTGGTCAGCAAAATATTTCGAAACATGCATGAAGAAGCAACCATCAATGAACAACTCGCAGATAAAATTTTGACATCGATGATGACCAGACTATGTGATAAAATTCCCATCATTCGATCGCAAGCCATTTGTGCATTATCAAGACTCCAAGATCCAATAGACCCAAAATGTCCTGTTGTTGAAGTGTATCTTTATTTGATGCAGTCCGACAACAGTGCTGATGTTAGGAAAATGACACTGCAGAATATTGCCATAACACAACATACATTGCCATACATTATAGGTAGGTAATAAGAAACCACACTGCTAAGGGTCTGTTCATATGATGACACTTACCGAGACGTCTCGCCTAGCAGGACAATTATTTCTGTGCTTTACAGTAGGGTGTATTGCAGGTCCTCGGCACAGAATAGGAAGTTATACCAGAAGCGTAACTCGAGCAAATATTTGTCCGCGTTTTTACAAGCGATTCGTCATCAATCACGCCATCCTGGCTAGTACAACCGGCACTTTGTACCTACCAAATCCTGATAAAAACTTCCGGCTGTACTAGCCAGGATAGCGTGGCCTGACGTGAGCGAGTTAAAAATTTTCGTGGACGTCAAACAATAAGGGAAACGACTAGAGTTACGCTTCTGGTATAACTTCCTATTCCGTGTCCTCGGGTTCAATTCCTGCCAGAGGGTCTATAGTTGCATTTTTTGCAGCTGCTTAAGCTATATCAGATTTTTTTCAGGGATTTTTTGGGGCCGTTAAACGGCCCCAAAAACTCCATCTTGAACTGAGTTTTGAAACTCAATCTTTTCACCAAAGTTTCAGTGCAGTAAAAATGAAGTTGTTTGAGTTAAATTCGTGACGTGTGGAAATTAGTTTTCAGTTGGAAACCCGACAATTAAGAAAAAATGGCTGGAATTCATCTCACAACACAAGAAAAACTATGCATTCGCCATCTTTAACCAGTTTATAGTGTCCCTTAGTGCCCCTGCTTTAAAACATTGCATCTCAACCACATTTATTGAGTACAGGTGTCAGCCCCCCGGTAGGGGGGGGGGGGATGCAGCCACCCCAGCTGTTCAGCTAAACTCAATCTTCTCTGCAAAAACGGACCCAAGAGAAAATCCTGAAAAAAACCCTGCTATATTTATTAATTGTATAACTATTATTCAGAAAGAACAAGAGATGTCAAAGATGGTGTGAGAAAATATGCATTTGTTGTTTTGGGTGAGAAAGTGAGCATCAGGGCTCTATCAATTGCACAGAGAGTTCAACTGCTTCATGATGGTTTAAACGACCGAGTGCCAAGCGTGAAACAAGCGTGTTATTCTAAGCTTCTCTTAAGTTGGGCTAAAGCTTGTGGTGAAGATGTCCTCAAGTTGTTAGCCCTACTAGATGTTGAGAACTCAGTTAAAACTGCTGAAACTGTTGTGAAAGAACTTCTGAAAGGTAAGGGTCATACTTTGGTACTCTGAAATATAGGCGATTATTTAATTAAGTTGTTTTTCACTTGTTTTCTTTTACTTATATAAGCAAATTAGCCTTAGATTTGAGGACAGAAATTTGCAGCTTCAACAGGGTTGAAATTATTGGCAATATGTATTGGCAAGCATCCCCAATATTTTGTGAGGTGTGGAACTATTTCAGGTGGGGGACATCTACCAATGGGCAGGCCCCTTCCCTTCTACTAGCCTCTTGGAGAAAATGTCAATATGAACTAGGGGATACAGAAATGTTTATGGTTTGTGGGACAAAATTTTAATGTATTCCATGTTAATCCATTAAACCCCCTCTCTAATAATCCCCCTCTCTAATAAGCCACCTCTCTAATAAACCCCCTTCTCTAATAAACCCCTCTCTCCAAGAAGCACCTCTCTCTAATAAGCTCTCCTCTCTAATATAGCCCCTCTCTAATAAACCCCTCCCTTTCTCATAAGCACCCTCTCTAATAAGCCCACCTCTCCAATAATCCCTCTTCTCTAATAAGTAATCATTATGATTAGTTTTATTAGTTAACTTATATAAGTTCACCTTTATAGTTTACCATGTTTTATCAAATCAATAATTTCCCCAAACCACATGGGTGGGGGCATCATGATAGAGGAATTACAGTACAAAATACAGTTATTATGATAATCGTATTTCCAAGAATTTTTCTGAAGAACAACTCGCAAGTACAGTCACTGAGGATTTCCTTCCTAGTCGTCTTATTACTAGGAAAGCCTGTCAGAAGTTACACTTACTACTATTTAATTTGGCGCTGTATTGAAGTCGTGTGCAGACTATGTGATAGCTGTGAGTGCCCGCGGAAATTAACTGAGCGAAAAATAATCTGCGCGAAAGCACATATTAATGACTCTGTTCTGCCGCATATCTTTCTCCCTTGATACTCTAGTTTTGTCCGTTTCAAGGGTCTTGAAATAGAAACTGTACGAAAATATTGTATTTGGAGTGTATAAAATAAATTTGCACAAATTTAAGACAATGCGTACTATGCGAATCTCGCGGCGGGGCTGGTGTATTAAGAAGCAAAACTGTGATTTTAAACACCCACAACATCTGCATCCAAAAAAGCCATGGGATAATATGCCTAAATACAGAATACGTTGCCCCTTTCTACAAAGGAGAGGGTTTTGCTTGAAAGGAGACCAATGCGATTTTTCACATAGTGATACCTCAAATATTCCGTCGACTCAAAGGCCTAACATGAACTATCCTAGTCCTTTTTTATCCTACCAGCAAAGGAAAATGCCAAATTACAACTGGCAAGTCCCCCCAAACTACCCCATGATACCATGGTCAACCTACCCTTGGCCAAAACCCCTAATGGATATCCCAATATATTCACCTCGTATAGCACATCAACCAACCTACCCCCTCCACCTACGACGCCCCGTTTATTGAGTCACGCGACCTCCCCCCTACGCACATTTAGAAATTTAATAACTGTTCCACTCACCAAACATACAACAAATACGAATGTACGTCACATGTATTTTAACACATCCAACCCCCTTACCCATTTTCAACCTATACCCGTTAGGATTACCTCTAGAAAAGGACTAAAACTAAATTATTTCGAGAGATCGATCAGGAACAATTTAATACGTATCCCTCTAGTGGATCCACAAGATATACCAAATTCTAACAATGAACGAAGGTTACCGAACGTTTTGATCCTAAATACAAGGTCTCTAGCTAATAAAACGGACGAGCTTGCAAACTTAGTGGAACTATATAAATCCAACCTGGTGTTTGTCACCGAAACATGGCTGTGTGATAAAATCCCGGACGAGGCTATTCAACTGCCGGGTATGACATCTATAAGGAAAGATAGAATCGGTCGTA